GGCTTGAACTCGGGATCTGTCGGTCCTGAGTTTGACGCTTTACCGACTGAGGAACCTCGGTCTGAAGCAATTCAGAAATTTCCCTCGAGCGGAATCGAAACCCGACACCTCCGAAGTTCAAAGCAGACGTCTTATACACCGTCCGGACACTCCATAAGCGAATTTGAAGGTTTAGTTTTGCAAATTCCATCTTTAGGGAATTACTGTACAATTTCTTCGTTAGAAGGACGGAAATTTAATAGAAAGATGTTCCCAAGGCAAAGGATTTAGATAACACTGACTCTGTCATTCATTGCAAACAATATCAGCACAGACAGAGAAAAGATGGTGATTGTTATTCACGACATCGATCTTACAGAAAAAAATTTTGTTAACTTTCAGCCAATCCAACCATGCAGTTAGATTTTCCACTGATCATATTATTAATATGTCAAGTGACACCATCAATCCGAAGGGAGATAAAAACAGTCGTGTTGTTCAAAGTGAGCAAGAAAAACGGTCTGAAGCACTATCGCCCAATTCGCTGCTCCTGCAAGTCAGCAAGCTGTTCACTAAGATCATCAACAACTGTGTCCACGAACAGCAACCAAGACAACAGGCAGGATCACAAAGGAGCTATAGTACGACGGATAACATTTTCACCTTAAATCAACTACTCGACCGTGCCAGGGCATACGAGGATCGTCTGGTCGACTACAAGGAAGCGTTCGGCACTGTTGAGTACAATACAGTACGATAGTGTAGACTATATTGGCAGAACAGGGCATCGATACCCGTTACCCTACCTGCTACAGGAAACAAACACTGGCTGTTTAGCAGTTGGCATGCTGTTAGACACTCTCTCCTGCTTCTCGCAGGGAAGGGTGTAGATTAGAGTGTCACCTTGTCCAAAAACTTTTCACTGCCTGTTTGGAACAGGTGTTGCTGAGGATAAACCGGAAGTGTGAGGTAACATTAATGTCGAAAAGCTGTGCCATCTAGGATTCGTTGATGACCTGCTGTTATGATGAAAAACGCCAGCCATATACAAGATGTGCTGCGAAAGCTCGATAGCACAAGTACAGACATCGGACTGCAAATCAGTCGGTTAGAAACAAAGACAGTGCGATCGGGTGCCCTGTCGAAGGAGCTGGTAATATTGAACGACGTCAAGATCGATGACGATAAATGCTTTTGCACGGGCCAAGAGATAAACATGAAACATTATTCAGGCTATAGAGACTCAACCGAGAAAGATGATGGTCGGTTGGTACGCATTCCATTCGATCAACGACGTCCTCCTCGGTAGCATTCGCATAGAAACTCGCACACTTCGATTCTACCGCTCTCTCAGTGTTGTTTCGTCACTCACTGAGGTCTACGAGTGCCAGTTAACTGGTTGACTTAATCCTTTGATAATGAAGTCCTTCCATATTTTGACACAGAATCCTCGAAGGTGAAACGAATACCCATTTTCGAATGGTGACCAGCGACAGCTGATCAAAATTGTGGTATTACCAGTTGAAACACAATTTGCCCACAATTTTTTCTGAATATCATCCGTCTTGCCTTAAACGGAAAAGGACAAGAGGAAAATTAACTTTTAGTACGATGATCTGAACATCTTGCCTAATCCCCATTGCTATACTATTAACTAAGAATGCATCATTTTAAAGAAGTCGTGTACAGCTGTGTTACAAGCACATCATGTAGCCTCCTGTTTCCTTTCCCGCAGAGTTGTACTTGTTTTTCTACCGCAGAAGGACGAACGACGAGTCATCCGACTGGGGCTTAAACTAGTCATCTTTCGACCGTGAGTCCGATGCCGTACCGATTGACCAACTCCTGTAAAGCTCAAGAGGATCGACAGATAGTACGAGTGGTGACACGTCACCGTGCTGCTGTAAATAAGCTGTTGTTTCTGGAAGAG